GGGGGGCATGTGCTCCCTGCACCCCCCCCAGGAGTGTGCATAGTGGCAGGGAGCCAGCCCCCCACTACCACTCCCCAGATGAGCCACCCACTGCCCTGTCTCACTCCCTGCTGGTGCCATGTATCCATGCATTCTGGCCCCAGGCCCCAAGCCTCCCTCACTGCCCCAGCTGGGCAGCAGCCCCAGCCCCACCCCTGCCCAACTCACTCCCTATGGGGGCCTCAATCCCTCCTCTCCCCCACCAGACTCACCTGTGGGAGCTGCTTTCCAGGCTGCCAGAGGCACATGGCACCCTCTGCCTGACCACTGTTCTCCTGCTCCTCCCAGCCCCTGGCAGGCTGCAAATTCTGTCAGCCTACAGAGAGCTCTTTGTAAAAGTGGAAAATCCATGTTTCTTTGTTAAAATGAAAAATCTACATTTTGGTTAGTTAAAAGGGAAAATCTGTGGGGGGGTTTCCGCTTTTCCATGGGAAACAGAAAATCTGGATCCCTGGTAATCATTACCAGAGCAACTATATTATATCTTACTTCTATGACACAGAATTCAGTCAATCTATATATTTTATTATTTGTTTTGAGACAATGTCCACAAACTACAGGCCCATGGTGCTAAGCATAGAACTAATATATAAGAAAGACCAGTCCATGGTACAGGAAGTTAAAAATTTACCGTTCCTATATGGCTCCTGCCACTATCAAATCTGACATCCCTTCTACCATGAGACATTATGGCCTGTTTGTCTAGATGGTTTCCAATATGAATTGAAAGACTATATGATAAGATACTTCAGGGGAATAACAAATGAATAAGATATGGGGAAAAGGTTAGCTACAAGCTATTCCCTTAGATTGTCCTATATTGTCTTAAGAACTACATGTTTCCTGTACTCCAAAGAAAATCATGCTCACATTTTCCTGTAACACACCAAACACCACTTTAAGGGCATTGGTATATTTCTTTACATAGTCATTTTTTTTCACCCCGCAAAACATCCAAGCAATTATGGGTCAAGACAGACTAAGAGATCTGTAGTGTTATCAAAACAGGATATGTTTAACCAGATATTTATTTTAGGGCCTTGCTACATGTTACACTGGGGTGGACAAAATATGGCCCGCAGAGGGGCTTTGTCTGGCTCACAGCGGGTCCCTTGGTCCCGCCTGGCCCAGGCTTCATCCCATGGTGGTGTGTCCTACCACTCCCTGGGCATACAGCAGGGCTGTGGCAGTTCTGCACTGGACTGCCTGTCTAGGCAGCCCAGGCAGTGGCAGCTGCTGACCGCAGCCCCACAGTACTGGCGGGGACCTGCATGCAGCCTTGACTTACCCTTCACCTGCTCCCTTTGTTCCTGCACAGCCTGCTGCAGGAAGTTCTCGGCAGTGCTGAGTGAGAGAGGCCTCTTTCCCCCTGTGCCGACCACACTTCTGCCTCACTGGTGCTCCTGCTGCTGCAGCTGTTCAGTGTGAGCCATTGCAGGGTGGGTCAGGGCTGTGCGCAGGTTCCCCCCAGTATCACAGGGCTGGGGCCAGCAGCTGCCTAGACAGGCAGTCCAGTGCAGGCTGCCTTAGCGCTGCTGGGTGCCCAGGTGATGGCAGGACATGCCATGGCTAAGCGGTCCAGAGCAGGCATGGGGTGGCTTGGATTGTGGTTGTCCATGCATCTGGCTGATCCACTCCTGCTAGGGTCATTCAGGAGCAGGCAGAGCTGCTGGGGCTGTGTGCTGCTGGTAGTGACGGGGAGGTACCACAGGCCATGTGGGCCCTAGGCTGTTGCATGGAAGGGATGGGTGCTGACCAGCTCGGGGATGCGGACGTGGGGGCTCCCATGCACACACCCCACAATATACACAAACCCTCCCCTGCAAACCCCAGAACCACACTCTGCCCCACACACAATCGCACCCTCCACAAACACCATTACCCCTACACCCTTTCCCACATGCACCCCCTGCACACACATCCAGGGGTCTCTGGGAGGGGTCCAACTCACTACTATCCCCACACACCCCACCACATGCATGCACCCCCCATGCCCCCCCAGGCACCCTCCCCCTCCACATACCCCACAAACCACATACCCACCTACACACACCCAGACATACTCTCCCACATCCCCTGCAATATACAAAAGTAAAACTGCATTTTGAGCTGTTATGCAATTGTCTCCATATACATGACACAAATACACACAAATCAGGACAAAAAATCTTTTAAAAATTAAATTAAAATATGGTATTGTGGTTGTTAGATTTTTAGTATACAATTTGGTGGGTTTTTCTGTTTCCAAGATGGCAAATCCCCTTGCCAAACTGAGTAAAGGGCAGGGACTTCCAGTGATAAAGGTCAGCAGTTAGGGGGTGGGACTTCCAGTACCAAGTTGGAAACCAGGGGGTGGGGCACCTGTCAAGGGATGAGGCCACTCTTTCAGTCCTCAATAGCTCACCAAAACTTGTGAAGTGGCCCTCCACCTGAAATAAATCCCTCCCCTTGCATTATGCTGTGAACTGCACAAATATTGATTGGTGTTAGTGCTAGCTTGATTTTGGGACAAAGCGCCAGAAAATGTTCTGTAGGCATGCATTTAGGCCAGCAGTGTCCTGGAGCACTGACAGTTAAGAATCCTCCCCATCCCATTCTGGACTTCACTTCTGCCCCCTGTCCCCAGGCCTCTCCTTTTCCACCTGCTTTCCTGTCCTGTTCCCGCCCCCCCACCCCACACACACATTTACTTGTAGCTTCCTGCACTGTCTGCCCCAGGGGAGCAGGCAGGGAAAGGTTAACCTGCCTTCCCAGCTCTACTGCCAGGCTGCTGCTCTTCTCCATGCTGAGCCCAGCCCAGGGAGCAGTAGTGGTGGCAGCTGGAAAGGCAAGTTAACCTTTCTCTGCCTGCTCCCCTGGGATAGACAGCACTGGCAACCACAAGTAAGTGGCAGGGTGGGCAGGTGCAGGAGTGGGGATCTGAGGTGCTGAGGAGGGCAGGCATTGGGCCTCCTCCAGGCCAGAGAGGGGGCACCTAGGGTGTTTATATTAAGCTGTAGCCTAGAGTGTTAATGTGTGAACAATCCTGGTGTTAAGAGCTCCAGGAATGACCCAAAAATACTGTGCAACAAGGCCATTACTTGCCAACAATCCTTTTCTCTTCCAAAGAAAAGCAAACGTGTTGTATGAAACCCATTAGAGAATATTCTTACAAGATGCGTATGAACTTTGGACAATGCCAAATTAATATTTTACCCTGGAAAAACTTCTGTGGTGTGGTAGCTATTGTCCAGCAGCAGTGGTACACAACCATAGTAAAGTGAAGCATGTAGACTCTAGATAGAACTATAGGAAAAAAGTCCTACACTGTATTGCATAGTTAGCTGCAATCAAAGAAACCAGAATATATTTCCCTACTGAAGTGAGGATACCAGATAAAAGCCCTTGACCTGTTCTAGTAAATGGCATTCATTATGTTCCTTACATTTATGGGTAAATCCTAGCCCCATGAGAGTCAATAACAAAATTCCCATTGACTGCAATTGAATCATATTTCACTCTACAACTTCTAAAAATTCATTTCAAAGGCCCTTTCCCCAGAAATGCAGTGTAGCAAAGATGACTATTAACTTAAGCACCTGAGATTTATTCTGCAAAACAGTATCAAGTGATGGTTTTTAAAATACCAGGAAAACTTAACTGTGTTGGCCCCTGCTGGAGACAGGAAACTGAAATAGATGACTACTAGGTCTAATCCAGATACCCTGACAGATAGTTAAATTGACACTGGCCCACAGCTAACAGTAGGCAACCTCTTTCTTCATTTTGTTCCATTATAAACAGACCAAATACTATTTTTTGTCATTCATTAGCTCCCTAATATTTCCTTAATTTAATCTCTTCCACTTTCAATTATGAAAGCCTCTGAGATTTGAGTTGTTAGTCAGGCGTGGGGGTGCTTTGTTTAAGGGCTTTTTGCTATGGTTTAATTAGCAATCAGAGACTTAGCTGCTCTGCTCAGAGATACTGTCATAAGAAATAGTGATCTTTTGATATTAACACTGGAGAAGCATCCTTTTTTTATATTACATGAACTGAGCTGTTCTTGATTTATTTTTATCCCCCCCCCCGCCCAAGCCCTCCCCCCAACAAACCTATTATGGCAATTTTCCTATTACGTCATCTTTCTGTAAGCATATATTTTACCTCTTTCAACTTTGAATAAATACAAATCAAAATATTCCTGAGTTAGTTTTTAGAATTCATCCATTCATGTATTTTAAGGCTAGTAGAGACCACCAGATTGCCTATGCCGACATCCTATACAGCAAATACTATAATTTCACCCACTAAAATAATATTATATACTTTATTGAGCCCAACAACTTGTATTGAATTAAAGCATCTGGTTCTAGATGGAACACTCACCACCTCCCTTGCTAAATTATTTCTATGGTTAATCACATCTGCAGCAGATCCAATAGAATATGAACCTGCAAGCATTTGCCTACAAAACACTGCATTTTGCACGGCACTGCTCCAGTGTATCACTATCAACATTTGTCTGAAACAACATCACTGTAAAAACAATTACTAACATGGGAGGGATGTTGCTTGTCTTGTAGGAGATTGCTAGTAGTATTTAGACAGACACAACATACAGTAGATAAGAAAGAACATAATCTTAATAATGTAAGTTTAAGATCTTTTTAATCATGACCACCAAAGCTAGAAAAAAATGCTCTTCATGATTGTACATCACTGCTGGGGTAGCATGTGTTCCCAGCCCCAAAGGCCCAGAAGACATCATGCCTTGAAATTGTCATTGGTATTTCAGAAAAGGCTAAACAAAGCTTCAGGTCATCACATACTATTTTTCCCAGACAGGCCAGGATGCTTTCTGTCTCCCAAGCCTCATGAACCTCTGTGAACAGTATTCCCTTAACCCCTCCATTTGCTACTTTTGCCAGATGGCTGAGGAGGAGTTAGAAGAGGAAAGAGAAGCTGCAGCAGTGTTTACTTGCTTACCTGTTTGTGATTGGAGAGGAGAAAAGAGATTATGTCTGGTAATTTCCCCAAGGCCAGCTTGCTAAAAAGAAAACTGAAAGGGAGAGGAGGAGGCACAATATAGGACAGGTGCTTAGCAGGGGCCCACTGGTATACTTCCACTGAAGCCGAGTTAGACTGAACTGCACCAGTTGAGTATCTGGGACCTTTTTATTTGGGTAACATTTGGGAAGCTAAATTAGTGGATGTAAATGTAGTAACAAAATAAACATAATATATAGCTCCATTTACTGAGTTTTAGAAGTGGTGAGCTATGTCTTAAAGACGAACTGAACTGCTGATCTAGGGCATAGAGAGAGTTGCTATCCCATACTGCAGCAAAGAAAAAGCAGAACAGACATCACTGCAGACAGAGCAACCATCAGAAAGGTACAGGCACACACTTCATTACCATTCAGTCTTTGACCTTACTTGCAAGGCTGCCAATAAAAGTATAGTGATGGTGACTTTCTTGATGCTGTCAGGGAAATCATAGATAATTTTCCTGTGTATAAGGTTATATCATATCAAAACATTTTTAATGAAGATTATTTTAGCAAGATTGCTAACGTTAATATCAATTGTTCTCCTGAAAGGAGAAAGAAAAATCAAACATCTTGGCACTGTAGTTTCTTACAGGCTAGTTTGCTTTGTGTGTGCCTGTGTCTATGTATGTGTATGTGAGACTAAAATGGCTGGTTTTCCCTACAGAATGTACCACTGGGGATAGAATGATACAGGGAATAGCTTATAGTTTGTGTGTCTGATGGTAAAAATCAATGGTTTTCCTCATTGAAAGGTGCCCTCAGGGGCAAAAGGCAGTGAATAGCTTATTAGTTTGTGTGTGCATGTTGGCAGATGATAAAGCAGCATTGAAATCAGTTATACACTGTAATAAAGTACCCATCCCCATCTTAAAGCTAGTGTGTACTTATGTCTCAGGGGAATATACCTCCATTAACCCAAACTATGCAGTAACTCATCTTTAACCACAGTATGGGAATGCAGTGGAAAAGCAAATGATAATGATTTTCCCTGGTTACTGATCCAAGAATACAAAGGATAAACTTGGAGTCTGGGGGCCAGATCTTCAGCTGATGTAAACTGGCATAGTTCCATTTAAGCCACAGGAAATATGATGATTTACGCTAGCTGGGGGTATAGATCTCTGATATATGGAATGCTTTCCTTGTTCGTAGACAAAAGGAAAGGAAAACCCTATGAATGCTTTTAAAAGAAGATAGCAACACAGACCTTCTATTTTTCCAGTGGGCTTTCCTGTAGCCATTCTTTTCAGCTCATGATTCTGATGCATCAGAGCTACCTACAAGAACTACACTGTTGCTGAAATGTTTATTGACCTCTAAATGTTGTCATTCTAGGCAGTTACATGTCATGCTGTACAATGCTTTACCAATGACATACACCTGAACAATGCCAATATTGCCTGCAGCACACATAACAACCATTTAATGTGAAGTTGTCCCATAAGATCACTGGGGCAGATCAGGGATAAGAAGCAGAAATGATGATTTCTCTTGGTTGCAACGTGGAACTATTGACATTAGCAAGTGTCTACTTGCTACGTAAGCAGTTCTCCAGAACTGCTGACCACATCTTCACTGGCCTCAACAGATCTCAAAACTAGCACAGAAGATATCTTTTTTAGGTACATGACAGCACAAATATGTAGATTTCCCCCTGCCTCGAAACATGTTGAAATTATGGCCATGTCTGGCAAAACAGTTCCCTTACTTGGAGTAGCTGATGCATAACAGTCATTAAACAGATGGGTAGACACATGTACACCCACACACAGATTCCTAAGATTATGTTAATTGTGGACAGTCCCTGGAGAATAAGTGTTGGAAACTGCATGCAGCTACACTGTCATCAGATCATTATGGGCAGAGGTGCTAATAGCTTCCATAATAGATCCCAAAATAAAATACTATCTAGAAAGACAGAGAGATTCTGTGCAGTTACTGCACCCAGAAGACCAATAAGGGTATTTTTCAGGTTAAAGTACTGTGTTTTGTTATAGACTTTTGTGAGCTTTTTTGTATTAGATAGCAGCAGTGGAAGAGTTAATTGTTGGAACACTTTTCTAGACCACCTAGACTGCAAGATCACACATATACATTTGAGGGAGGAAAGAAAAGGGGCACAAATATGTGTATGCAGTTGGGTTTGTTTGAGATTTGTGAGAAGCCCACAGAGAGACAGAAGATAAGATAGCTGCTTCTGTGGATAAAAAAGAAATGCTTAGGCCTGAGGTTTCTGTATGAGGCAGTGTATATTTTGCACCACTTTTTTCTCAAGGAACAGAGGATTTTTAAAAATGTATTTACAAAACATACATAGATTATGAGAATACCTGACTCGACTTCACCAATTTCCTCTCCAAATAGGAAACTGATCTAGATGGCCGTGCCACGACTCAACAATGAGGCAATAATAAAAAAGCAATAATTCCTTTAACATTGTGTTAAACACAACATTTCATGTACAGTCATTAAGATTTGTACCTTTGTTCTTTACACCAGGACTCAGAAATACTCCTGGACTCAGCTAGAAGCATTAAGGACCTCAAAACAAAGAGAATCATTACAAATTATGGGAGTAGGAGTAAAATCAGAACTGCTTATGCAGGAAGAGATACAAAATTATGCCATATTTTATCCATCCCAGCCAGGTATGAGCTGAACATGTACTGCCAAACCCATGCTAGTTTAATCTAGTTAGTAGGAACAATGAAAGAAGTGCAGATATGGTGGCACAAGATACAACATTACATGTTAGCACCCAGAGTCTGAAATTTCCAAGGACTCATAGTAAAATCTGGTTGTTAGCTCCTGGGCTACTTTGTCTTCCTTGCTTTTATTACCATTTCTAGCAACTGCACGGTTGCATGAGCTACAACCGCACCTGCATTTTGCTGCATTTGAGAAAGAGACTGTGGAAGCACAGACAGCTCTACAGAAGCTTCCCACAAATCAATTGTGATTCAGGACTTCAAACTTAAGTAGCAAATCCATAATGCACGTATGCAATGTACAGTAACATACATTCATAAATAGTAGCAGTTTCAACCTGAGCAGAATCAATTTTCCAAAGGGAAAATGAGGTTTATGGTGTCATCTGATCCTAAGTCTGCTCAATTCAATGAGAGTTTTTCTTTAGTCACTTACGGGCATTTGACTGCAGTCCCACAGTTTAATAAAAGTAGCAGCATTGTAGGTCATGGGAGAGTAGGGTGGGACAGTTTGCCAATTACTTCTGCACACTGTTTTGTTTTAGTTAATACTTCATGCTCAAAAGCACTAAATTCCCCCAGAGGACTGGGAAATAAATAAAATTATTAAAAATTACTTTGGGACCAAACTTTTGTTCCTTCTAGGCATTCTTCCTGTAGAGACCTCATAAAGAGGTATGCCAATGCCCTGAAGAGATGAATTTTATATTTTTCCAATGTGGATCCAGACCACTTTGGGATATTAATCCAAATAATTTAGTATAGAGGCTGCCTCTTTCACAGAAAACAAGGAGGTGAGGGTCAAGGCATTTGTAGAGATTGTGAAATACAATATAGCTACCTGGACTCCATTTGGGCTGAAATAAATAAGGAATTTTGGCTGCAAATGTTGTCAGTCTCCTACACTTATTCAGCACAAATACTCAGGAAAAACAATGATAATACCATTTGGCTTTTTTTAGTGCTAAGTCAATGCATAATTACTGGAAAGTATTTCTGACTGAATTTTAGATGAGCATTTTGACAAAATATAATATTGGAAACAATCTTTATCAAACATTCATGTGTAGTGAGAGAGATAAAAACAGGAATCCATAATTCATACTGCAGAGTGTATTACCAAGTGTGAATAAGAGGCTGAATTTAAATGAGGAGGTCTGAACAATATTTTCTGCAAGGCATCTGCTTTAATCATTTACATTATTCACTAGGTTTTCCAGAACAGTAAATCTTAAATATATATTTGTGTTTGTGAGAATGTGTATGTAAATACACATGCATATATGCACATACACAGAAAGATATATATAGATATAGATATCCACATATTCACTCAAATATAGACATATGTACTTTTCCCACACAAACGCATTTACTTATGACCTGATCACTGAAGTCAATGGAAAGACTCTCATTGGCTTCACTGGATTTTGGATCAAGCCCTTAATAATTTAACTGTTTTTAATAGTGATTACTATGTGTGTGTTGATGTTCACACCGTGATTAGGGAAAGTTCTTCTGTATACAGTGTTCACACAGTCCTGATGATCACACTCTGCCTGACTTTAATTCCTTACACCGTTTCACTTGGATAAGTTATTCTTTGTTACCTGTCCTTAATAAATAGCATAAGATTGCTGTACACAGTCAGAAAGCACTCAGGATTTAATGCATTTCCATGATGGGACTTGTAAAATGTAATGTAATAAATGTAAAATGCTATTGCTTATTAGCAGCTGCCTCAACGTAAGATATTTACCTTGACCCAAATATTCATGTAAAGGGGTAGGAACACACGCCCCTAACCGCCCTTGCAGAGGCTACTTACAAGTAGCTGAGGGAAGAACAGTATTCGCAGAGGCACTATTTCCTATCTTATGTAGCTAGGCAGCAAGTAGAGCTAAGATAGGGAATAGGTGAACCCCTGGCTTCAGCCCCAAGGTGTCAGCCAACATTGCTTAGCCAGTGTGGAGAAAAACAATCTGCTACTGGTACAGAACATCAGTTTATCTTTGGGGGAAGACAAGAGACAAGGAATTGAATATAATGACTGTGAATGTGTCAATTCACTCTCCTAGGGCAGTGCAGTTGTGTGTGCCACCTCATTACTGTGGACTAAGAGATCACCTTCCTAAGGAAAAAGCTAGCCGCTCTGCTATTCAGGGTTTACTAATCATTCCTTTTCCCCCTGCCCCCTAGGATCACTGGATTTAGCCTTCTCCTTTTCCACCTCCCCTATTGCTTAGAATTGCATTTCTTGATTTTGGAAAATCTGTTTTCCCAGTGCCAGGAAGTGTTAGTACTGTTGCCTATCAAGCTGTGGTATTGTTTTATTTATTTATTGGAGAAGAGAAGGAAACACAACCAGGGTGGAGGTGGTGGGAGGGGCCAAATCTGTCTCAACCAGGTGCTGATTGAGATACATAGGGCATGCTTAAAAAAAAAGTTTTTAACTACATATAGCAGACAATTCAGTGGGAAATCCTGGCACACTAAAAGCCAGTGAAAAAGAAATTTCACCTCTATGAAGCAACATCCACATGACTAAAATGATGGTCTATCAATTTAATTCTCTTTCTAGTGTGTTTTCTGTAATGGTGTCCTCTTCCATACTTAAACAAAATG